CCAAACACATACACACACACATACACACACACTCATTTCTCAGGGACTACCTGGCAGCAAGTAGTTCAACATATCCCCCTTTAGCCCACACTACTCAGCTCAGTGTGGCTTGAAAAGAGATTTGTTATAGTGCAGCAGCCATAATTTAAAACTTCATACGACTACACTGAAACAACGTCATTAAATTGTGGGCCCTATAAAAAATAAATTAAAAAAAATAAAATGTAGGCCCTAAGCAAATCTACTATGGGAACAAAGGTACCAGGATCTTCCAGACATCTACCTACTCTCCCAGCTTCAAAACAAGGAATACCTTCATAAATAGCATCATTAAACTGGACTGATCCAGTCTAACTGTCTAAATATAATATCTAAGACAATAAGAAGATGTAAAATCACCAAGATACCAACAGAAGACAAAACACAGCGGGGGGGGGGGGGTCACCAGTGCCATTAGACGAATGCAATCTGCCTGAAGATGTCCTTAGGACAAAGTTCATAGCAATGCTTAACAATCTGAAACAATGTTTGAGCAAAGAATTCAAACACCTGAAGAGTGTCGGTGGCAAAAAACAGAATATAAATCACCCAAATAGAAATAATGTAATGAGAGAACAGAGCCACACAATTGAGACAGTGGGAAGGGAGTTGAAACACAGGGACACTGGGGTCTTTAAGGGAGAGAAATGGGTACACTGGTCATGGGTGTGGTTTGGAATCATGTGCATGAGAAGCATTAACAGTATTGTAAATAACATAATTTCCAGCAATAAAAAATACTTTTTAACACATAGATGTCAAAATCAGTGGCAGGCATTATCCCAGTTGACTCTCACAACTTTACTAGGAGATGTCATTTCAGATCTCTCTTCTTAGAAACACATCCTGGGGGCAAAATACTGAGCTGAGCGCTGACAATCACAATCTAATAGAAAAGTAATGGGAGAGGGGTACGAGTGACATTTGCATAACCTAACCAAACAGAAAGAGCTTCTTTCAGTATACAGCTGCCTTTTAAATCTGCCTCCCTCTCCACCACTGATAACCACAGGTTACCTAGCCATGCATAGATCTGTGTGACCATTACAAGGCAGTAGAGGGTCTGCCAGGTTCTAAGAACCTTGAACAGTTGGTTGACACTCAGACCTTCTCAACCCTGGGATGCACATACCTCAGAGTACTCATGATTCTTAAGCCCAGGTCACCCCCTCAAACCTGCACAAACTTTGTGAAGTTTCCCTTGAGTTTCTGGCAACCATGTATTCCTGGTAAACACTTCTGAGCTCTTTGGAATACTGTTCTCCAAGGCAGTCATAGTTCTATATCCCAGGATGCCCCACACAGGTCTATTTGAACTTGGCACTGACATTTTACTGGAGATTATAACTGGTCACCATCCAGGCCTCCTCAAGAATGGTGACATGCAGAAAGAGAGGGACATACATAGAAAGATTGCATTCATCAGGGGTATATAAAGTAACAAAATAAGAAACTAACACCCAAGAATAGCTGAGATAAGTACTCCATGGCTTGGAGGCCATCCACACATGTTAGGGGGAAAAGCAGCTCAGATAGAGAAGGGAGTACCTAGTAAAGGGTGTTGGGAGGATCCTCCCAGGATGGGAGACACATGCTGAAAGTAGACTATAGACCGAACATGATTGCCACTCAATGCCTCTTTTGCAAACCATAGCACCCAAAAGGAGAGAACAAAAGGGAATGCCCTGCCATAGAGGCAGGGTGGGAAGTGGGGGATGGGGGATGGGAGGGATACTGGGATCATTGGTGGTGGAAAATGGGCTCTGGTGGAGGGATGGGTACTCGATCATTGAATAACTAAAAACCAAGAACAAAAATTTGTAAGTCTACAACTGTACCTCATGGTGTTTCACTAATAAAAAATTTTTAAAAAGAATGGTGACAGGTAAACCCAGACACTAATGATATCTAACATTTGGGAGCAACTTGGACCTGCTAAAGTTGGCACTACACCCTTGCCAGCCATTCTCAATGTGGCAGCAAGGACACTAGTCAAGTCTGCTTGAAGTTATTGCTGTAGTTGCTGCCAAATGCTGGCAAACAAAAATCCCATGATAGCTACACAGACAAGCTCAGACATGCAATCACTATTGGGCAGTCAGGATCATGACCTTCAGTTACTCCCCAGCATGCTGGATTATTAGACCACAGCCAATGCCAGACACCATCAACAATAACCTTGAGTCACAGTACAATCACAGTACAAACTTTAGTAGTGTAGTTGCTACAGAGTATTCATGACAGCAAATTCCTTATGGTCATCTAGGTCCACACAAACAAACCTGGTATTGGTTATAATGAACCCATGACAGACACCAAAAATGGCTCAAACTACGACCATCACTCATAGTCCTTAAGTAGCTCCAGGTATAATGAAGAAATGAAGAAATTCACCCACACTGGTCGATGAAAGAAAAAATCCTCGTAAGGACTCCAAGCACACCAGAGCTTTGTAAATTCCCGAGTGAAAACTTTAAAGCAACAATCCTAAGAGTATTCATTGAAATGAGGCAATCAGTGGGAGAAAACGTTAACAGGACAGATAAATTATAAGAGTATGAGAAAAAATTCAAACAGAAATAATTGAGCTAAATAGTACAGTAGTTGAACTAAAAATCACAATAGATGAGCTCTGCAGCAGAATGTCAGAAGCTGAAGATAGAATCAGTGAGATCAAAGACTGGGGAGAAGAATCATAATGCTAGAATCATACCTCAAGGGACTAAAGAATGCTAGAGTGATTGATACCTCAAGGGGCTGTATGCTTTGCATACAAGATGCCCAGGTTTGATCCTGGCTCTCCACGGTTTCCCAAGTATCTCCAGGATTAGCTCCCAAGTACTGAGTTAGGAGTAGTTCCTTCAGGTGCACTGTGATATGTACCCCTCAAATAAACAAAAAGAAGCAGAAAAGTCATGTTAAAATAGAGATCACTTGATCACCTGACTTCCTGTTAATCATTGATTTGCTCAAGTAGGCACCAGAAATGTCTCCACTCATCCCTGTCGCATGCTAGTGTACCCAATGGCATCTATTTGTTCTAGGAACACAAAAAGCCTGAGCGGCCACGTGATCTTTTGACATCCCGTGGAATCCATTCGGTAAAGACTCTAGTCCAGCAGTCATCTCCAAATCTCATTACGTGTCCAACCCATCTGATTTCTGACGCCATGGCAAACGAGACAGCATCCCTGATTCTTGACCGTCCATGGAGGTCTTCCTCTCATTTGAGTGGAACATGATACTCCAAGCATAGCTCTTTTTTTTTAGTGAGACATCATGAGGTACAGTTGTAGACTTACAGATTTTTGTGCTTGCGTTTCAATTACCCTCTTTGGGAGACCCAAATAGTGTTCTCATCCTTTTTTCGTAGGGCCCAGGTCTCTGAGGCATATGTTAATGCAGGAAGAACAGTGAAATCGAAGAGACGTGCCCGGAGCCAAAGGTTCATCATCCTCTTAGCTATTTCTTCAAGGCTCTTGAAGGTGTTCCAAGCCGCTCTCCTCCTCCTGCACAACTCAGGTGCCAGGTCATTTGTCATGTTTACTTCTCGACCTAGGTACACATAACTGTTGCATTCGGAGATGGTTGTTCCATTGAGAGCGAATGGAGTGTCAGAAACGAGGCTGTTTCTCATAAACATTGTCTTCATGAGATTCAGCTGTAGTCCAACCTTTCCATACTCACAGTCGAAGTCGGCCAGTTTTGTGCTGCTTGACTAATGTTTGGCATTATTAGAACAATGTCATCAGCAAAGCGGAGGTGGTATAGTTGCCGACCATCTATCTTCACTCCCATTCCTTCCCATTCCAGTCGTCACATGACGTTCTCGAGGGTGGCACTTGAAGAGTTTCGGTGAAATGGTATCACCCTGCCAAACCCCTCTCTTGACATGGATGATCACTTCTTTGTAGAATGGTGAGATCCTGGTAGTGAATCCATAATAGATGCTGGTAGATGCGGCAGAAGCCAGAAAAAGCATTTGTAATACTTGCCTGTCCTTCGCCAACTACAAGACCAAGATGACTGCCCTCTGACGTCCTGATGGATCGATCGCATCTTCCAGAAGGGCAATGGAGAAGATTACCCATGACTTTGATAGTCACATCCATCTGCCCAAATACCAAATTCCGCAGGATGGATATGTTGTTACCAGCTTTCTCCCTTCCGAAATTCGACACGCCATTTCATCAGTAAAGAAACGAACAGCACCTGGCCCAGACAAGGTCAGAACTGAACACCTGAAGAATCTGCTGTCAGTACTCATCAATACACTGGCTCAGCTTTTCACACGCTACCTGTCTGAATGCAAGGTTCCGTCCCAATGGAAAACCAGCAGGACTGTACTACTGTACAAGAAGGGAGACATCCATGGCATTGGCAACTATCGCCCAATCTCCCTGTTGTCTGTCATCTACAAGCTGTTCACTTGAGTCATCCTGAATAGGATTGGCAGAACACTAGATGAAGGACAACCATGCAAGCAAGCCAGTTTCTGAAAAGGATTTAGCACAATTGAACATATTCACACAATAACTAAGTTCATTGAGGTTTCTCAGGAGTTCAAGATGCCGCTCTGTCTAACGTACATTGATTTAAAGAAGGCCTTTGATTCTGTTGAGACTGAAGCGGTCATCGAGGCCCTAGCCAAACAGGGCGTTCAAAGTCAATACATCAGGATCCTCTGTGAGCTGTGTTGGAGATTCACTACCAGGATCTCACCATTCTACATTGATTTAAAGAAGGCCTTTGATTCTTTTGAGACAGAAGCAGTCATTGAAGCCCTAGCCAATCAGGGCATTCAAACTCAATACATCAGGATCCTCCATGAGCTGTTAAAAATACAGAGTAAGGAAAATTTTGCTTAATGAAGAAAACATAAGATATTATGGCAGCATCAAGAAAAATAACATTTATACCATAAGGGTATTTGAAAGAGAGAAAAGATAGAAAGGGGAAAAGTACTGCTCACGTCAGCAGCACATATACGAAAATAGGACTTATATAGATAAGATTAGCTGGACCCTGTGCAAGGATGACACTCAGAATCATGAAACATTCCACACTTCTCTATTTTATAGAAAGGTAAAAATTATTTGATTGAAAAAAATAATAGTCAAGAACTTACCCAATCTGAGAAAAGAGCCATTCATCTAGCTACAACATGCTCAAAGAGTTCCAAACAAATAACTACAAATGGGTGAATAATAAAACACATTTTAATTGAAATGGTCATAAACCAACGATAAAGACAATACTAATATCAACAAAAGAAACCATGTACTCACATACAAGAGAGTCCTTAAAATAACTTATCAATAAAATAAAACTACAGGCCAAAGGAAATCAGATAGCAAGTGTATTGATTTAAGAAGACCTCCTACCAAGACTATTCTAAGTAGGTCACCACTCAAATTCTAAGTAGGTCATCACTCAAATTCAACAATATTATAAAGGTTTTCAAACAAGCAACAATTAAATGAATTAATGACTAGTGAAACAGCCCTGCAAGAAATACTAAGTGGTTTTATAGAGAAGGCCAAGACAATTCATTCAGAAGTAGTAAGAAACTTTAGAAACATAAAATGTGAGAAAAGAATTGAAGGAAGACATCAATAGAAACACAATAACAGTTGGAGACTTCAACGCAACTCTATCAATACTTGATAGATCAAGTATATTAAAACGCAGCAAAAAATATGAAAACCCAAGATGAACCACTTGCTGGGCCACAAAATATACCTCCGTAAAGTCAAGAGGATACAAATTGTATCAACTGTCTTCTCAGATCATGAAGCACTAAAATATAAAGCACCACAAGCAAGACCAGAGAAATAACTCAAACACCTAGAAATTAAACAACTAACTACTGACCAAACAATGAGGCAAAGAGTAAATCAAAAGATTCCTGGAAACAAACAAAAATGAGGACATGAGCTACCAGAACTTGTGGGGCATTTTTGGAAGACAATATGGACATTTCTCAAAAAATAGCTTAGGTCAAAAGAAACAGTGACCAAAATACAAAGACAGTCTACAGAATGGGAAAGGATATTCGCCGAATACACATCTGACAAGGGGTTGATATCAAAGATATACAAAATACTGGTTGAACTCCACAAGAAGAAAACATCCAACCCCATCCAAAAATGGGGCAATGAAATGAACAGAAACTTTCTCAAAGAAATCCAAATGGCAAAAAAGCACATGAGAAAATGTTCTACATCATTAATTATCAGGGAGATGCAGATCAAAACCACAATGAGATACCATCTCACACCTCAGAGACTGGCCCACATCCAAAAGAACAAAAACAACCCATGCTGGCGCAGATGTGGCGAGAAAGGGACACTATTTCACTGTTGGTGGGAATGTCGACTGGTTCAGCCTTTCTGGAAAACAGTATGGACGATTCTCAAAAAATTAGAAATTGAGCTCCCATTTGACCCAGCAATACCACTCCTGGGAATATATCCCAGAGAAGCAAAAATGTATAGTCGAAGTGATATCTGCACTTGTTTGTTCATTGCAGCACTCTTTACAATAGCCAGAACCTGGAAGAAACCTGAATGCCCAAGAACAGATGACTGCTTAAAGAAACTTTGGTACATCTACACAATGGAGTACCATGTAGCTGTTAGAAAAGATGAAGTCATGAAATTTATATACAAGTGGTACAACATGGAAAGTATCATGCTAAGCGAAATGAGTCAGAAAGAGAGGGACAGACATAGAAAGATTGCATTCATCTGGGGAATATAAAGTAACAAAGTATGAGATTAATACCCAAGAATAGCTGAGATCAACACCAGGAGGATTACTCCATAGCTTAGAGGCCAGCCAGGCATTCTATGGGAAAGGGCAGCTCAGATAGAGAAGGGAGTACCAAATAAAGGGTGTTTGGAGGATCCTCCCAGGAGGGGAGATGCATGTTGAAAATAGACTATGGACTGAACATGTTTGCCACTCAAAGCCTCTTTTGCAGACCACAACACTCAAAAGGAAAGAGAGAACACAAGGGCTAGCCCTGCCACAGAGGCAGGGTGAGATGGGAGGGATGGGGGTGGGAGGGATATTATCCATGGTTGGTGGAAAATGGGCACTGGTGGAGGGATGGGTATTTGATCATTGTATAATCGAAACCCAAGCACAAAAAATTGTAAATCTACAACTGTACCTCATGGTGTTTCACTAAAATAAAAAAATAAATAAAAAATTTAAAAAATTAAAAATTAAAAATAAATAAAAATAAAAAAAATGTTTAGGAATTGAGCTTCCAAACAACCCAGCAATTCCTGGTAATACACCCCAAACGTCCAAAACCACACTCCAGAGAAGACATCTGCACTCCTAAGTTCATTGCAGCACTATCTGCCATAGCCAAAATCTGGAAATAATCCAAGTGCCCAAGAACAGAGGACTGGTTAAAGAAGCTATGTATGGTACATATACAGAATGGAATATTACTCAGTCTTAAGAAAATATAAAATAATGCAATTTTCTAAGACATAGATCTGGAGAATATCATGCTAAGTGAAGTGAGTCAGAGGGAGAGAGAGGATAATCTCATTCATATGCAGTATATAAAGAAACACAGTAGTATAATAACTAATACCCAAGGGCAAATAAAAACAAAGAGAAGGAGAACTGGTCCTTCTTAGGAAGCTTGTCACTGGAGGGTGGGGAAAAGGTGGGATAGGTCAGGGAAGGATTCACTAAAGCAATGATAGATGAAAGTGGTCACTCTAGTCCAATGTTGGGTGCTAAAAGGAAGCAAAGTGACATGTGTGATACCCTTTCAGTAACAGTACTGTAAACCATAATGCCTAAGAGGGTTGTAGGAGAAAAAGAAAAAAGTGCCTGTCAGGGAAATTGGGGAGAGCACTGGATAAAAGTGGACACTGGTTGAAACACTGTACACCTGAAACTCAAACATAACTTTTGTAACTTTATAATTCCTGGTGAAACAATAAAAAAGTAATAATAATAATGTTTTTATTGAATCACCCTGAAATATAGTTAAAAAGCTTTCATATTTGAGTTTCAGTCATACAATGATCAAACACCCATCCCTCTACCAGTGCACATTTTCCACCACCAAATTCCCCAGTATCCCTGCCCCCTTTGAAGCCCTCCCCCTGCCTCTGTGGCAGACATTTTCCCCCATACTCTCTCTCAACTTTGGGGCATTATGGTTTGCAATATAGGTACTGAGAGGCTATTACATTTGATCCTTTATCTACTTTCAGCACACATCTCCAATTCCCAACAATTCCTCCAACTGTCATTGAGTTAGTGATCCCTTCTCTATTCCAGCTGCCTTCTCCCCCAGCTCATGAAACAGGCTTCCAACTATGGAGCAATAATAAAGGGGTTTCTTAAAGCAAACATGAGATTTATTTAATGTAATAGGAGATACAACCTTAGAACTTTATGTGTTGGGGGCTGGAGCAATAGTAGAGCAGTAGGGCACTTACTCTGCATGTCGCTAACCCAGGTTCAATCTCCGGGATCCTATATGGTCCCCTGAGACCTGCCAGAAGTGAACCCTGAGTACAGAGTCAGGAGTCAGCCCTGAACACCATCAGATGTGGCCAAAAAAACAAAAAAGAACTCTATGTATAAATGTTATAGTAACTAAATGACAAAAAATATCGAGAAGCAACTAACAAGAAGAGAAAACTTGAATCTGATCACTATACTAGTGTATATCAAGGAACAGGGGGAGAAAATAAAAAAGACAAAGAAACAAAGATAGATTTCACACAGACACCCAGGATAGACATTAAAATAATAATCAATTCATTTATTACAATAATTTTACTAAATATCAGTGCCCCAGACTTACCAATTAAAAGGCACAGAGTGACAAGATATATCACGAATCAAAATCCAACCTTCTTCATCTTATAAGGAGGCCCACCTGAACTTTAATGACAAACACAGGCTCAAAGCAAAAGGTTGGAAAGTAACTGGCATTTTTAGGCAATCAGGGTCTAAAATGGCAGGGACAAGCCTATTTAAATCAGACCACATACACTGAAAAATTTGACAAACTATATTTCAAAATAAAATAAGCAGTAAAAGTTACAAATGAACATTATGTATAATCATCTAGAAATCAATGAATGAAGGTGATTTAACACTCACTGAAAAATATGCACCTAATGAAAGAACAGCAAAATAAGGCAACTACAAATAGGCTTAAAGACACATATCAAGAATAGGAACCAGAGAGTTATTACAAAAGTTAAAGCACTTGTCTTGCATGCAATTGATGCCAGTTCAATCCTTAGCACATGTTCCCCTGAGTACTGCTAGGAGTGACACCCTAGCACAGTCAGGAGTAGTTCTCAGTCACCAATAGGAGTGGCTCAAAACTCCTCCCCAAAAGAGCAACACTTAAAGCTAATCTGTCGCAGCTGCAGAGAATAACCAGACCAAAAATATAATAAGGAAACAACCTCAAATGACACGTTGGAAGAGATGAGCTTTATAGACATTTACCACAACTCAAAAGCCAAAAACACATTATTCTCCAGGGTATGTTCTCTAGGATAAATGACTTGCTGGGACACAAAGTAAGTATCCACAGAATAATGAAGATTGAAATCACCTCGAGTATCTGTTCAGATCACAAAACTATGAAGGCATATTAAGCATTTTTTTAAAAGCTCGATGAAAACTCAAACATTTAGAGACTAAACAGCATGCTCCTGGAAAACTATTGGATTAATTAGGATATTAAAGAAAAACTTTTAAAAATCCTTGAAACAAACAAGAATGGAGATGAGCTAATAGAACATATGGGACACAGCAAAATTGTGTTAAGAGAGAAGTTAACTGCAATCCAGGCTTATATCGGGAAACAAGAAAAGACTCAATAAACAAACTAATCTCACAGTTTAAAAAACTGGGAAAATAAAAACAAATGAACCCAAAGTCACGCAAACTACATATTAAAACTTAGAGTGTAAAGAAAGAAAATAAAACTCAAAAAGAGAATACTAGGGGCTGGAGATATAATACAAGTAGATAATATAATGCTTGCATGCACCCAACCCTGGTTT